GCAAATTTCGCGCCGGTGGAGAATTACGTTAAAGACACAAGCATTCATAGGCATATTGAATTATCCCACTGTATGAGACTGGGTCAAGACAATCCACCGTATAGGTTGTGAGATGTAACACCGTTTTAAGTTATGGGAACAGGAAAGCCCGTTGGTGTGAACTGTGTCCAGATTTTCCATCACCCTACAGCGAACAGCTTCACGAAGAACAGTCACAATGGGGACCTACGGTACAGTCATAACTCCATCTCGACACACTTTATATCTAGACAAAATCCAGTAGAAATGGACAGGGAGACAAGCGGTTGAGAATTAAGACTGGTTCGGAACCGGCCCTGCTGCAACCGCAGTACCGGTTGATAACTTGAGGGAAAATTTCTGTGAAGATTCGTCGCAGTTTGACTCAGGAAGAGAGCCATCAACCATCCAGGGAAACGCTGGACGCCCGTTTCGTCCTATTAGGACTCGTCTGTAGCGTGCCACAGAACTACTTGCGAATACAGACTGGGGGATCCAATATTGCAGCGCACTTCAATGGAATGCGATCTAGGCGTGATAGTGCAGAAAAATCTGGGCTGCTCCCGTCAGGCCGAGATAGCCTCCAAAAAAGCTAATCAACATCTTGGGCTTTTGCGGATGGCATTCGGGCGCTTTGATCCTTCCATCTTTTCTCAGATGATCAACGCCTACATTCGGCCTCATTCTGAGTACGCCATTTACGCCTGGCAGCCATGGCAAAAGCAAGGCCTTACCGCTCTTGAACTATCACAACGAAGGGAGACCAAGAACGGAAAGCGCCTGTTTCATCTCCGTTACCGATTGAGGCCGAAAACACTCGGGGTCTATAGTGGACAATATCGACGCCTGCGTGGCGACTTGATAATGACTTATATAATCCTGAGGAATCCAAAGCATACTTGTCGTCACCCACTAAAGCTGAATAGCAATACAACACTCAGAGGACACCATCTAAAGCTGGCCACACAATACAGCCGGTTGGAATACCGCCGGAATTTCTTTTCGCTTCGTGTGTGCCAACACTGAAATGCTCTTCCCACACACGTTGTTTCTTCCCCCACGCTAACGGTATTTGAAAGACGTCTGGATGATTCGCTTATCCACTTACATTACGCTAAATAATCAGTGATGTCTACGTCGACCAAACGCGAACAAACAGTGCTCATTCTCAGCTTTTGTGCTTCACTACCTACACACTGCTGTTGTGGAATATAGTTTCGGATAGATTACAATTGCATTCCTCAATTACCTAAATCCAAGAAAGCGGCGCACGAGTAAGCGTTGTCGTTTCTTTGGTTCTTAAGACATACCTTCCCCAAGTTACTCTACAGTAACAATTCAGTACACATACTGAAATGTTTATATGGATAAGGGGCACCTGAATCGCTAGACGCTTAAATTGACGATTTACACTTGTGTTTACTTTCACTTCAACCATCCTACGGGGCTTGTAAAGCAATCGCTATTTTACCTGTAATACATCATTGTTCATTGTTCAAGGAATCCTGCCGGATTCGAACACGCGACTTTACTCTTAAGAGTCGGTGACTTATGCCACTAAGACATGGGTGACGGCAGCTGACCGCCATGACTGATATCAAAATGCGATATAGCGCGGCTCATCCTCCACAGTCAAGTAAGTTATGAATATGCAGAGGACAGGGCTTGTGTTGGGAATATACACTCGAACGAACGTGCGGTGCCAGCCCAGCAAGAAAGCCGTTAGGCTGCCGCAAGGAAAGGCGGCAGCTGATAGGACGTTCACACTTTTCTCGCATGCACGCTGATTGGCCAACAGTTGGACGCATTGGAGTGAGTTTGTTTGACTGAATCAAAGGAAAATGTCATGCATTCACAAAGGTCGTTAATTATGGATCCAACTAGCTGTATATACCGATATGTTTCACTCGCCCTCTGCCTGCGTTTTCGCCTGGTCCTTTTGTTTGCAGAATATACGTTTTGTCCCTGAAGGACCGAGTTTTTACAGGCTGACCCCCGGAGCAACGATTTCCTTTGAAAATGTACACCAAGTGTCCACAGACCGATGGCTGGTTCGCGGCCAGTTCTGATCCTGGCATTTTCCCTGAAACTGGGCATTCCTCCTCCCTCACGGCGATTAGCAGTCCCTGTAAGCTAGTTAGCACTTCGTCAACAAGCACATCGAGAGAACCCGAAGCTGGAGTATTACTCAGGGTCTTGCGTGTTAAGCACTAGCCAATGAGCCATAGGGAACGACGCATGCCTCAACGGTTCAACCAACGGTAACACTTGGAACCAGAGTGGCTCGCAGATTCGCCAGCATTGACCCCAGAGCAAGCACATAGTGACCTACGTCCAAAATTCAGAGCATTGGCGGTGGGACTCAACAGAACCAAGTCAACTGAAGTCAAGTCAAAATAGATTTGATGAACCCAAATGAGAACATTTTCAGCATTTTAACGCTAGCACTGCGGATGTAGTGAGGTATAACACTGGCACGAAATTGCAATCAAAGCGTAAAAAGAAGAAAACATGCATGCAGATCACTCAAGCACGCGTTTACGCGTGGGGCTGATACGTTTCTTGGAGTCCGCAAGAAAACGGGATAAATACGGTAAGATCGAATTGTGATAAGGTTTGTGGGTGAAAACGGAACCCTAAATGTAGAGCAAGTAGACTAGCAGGAGAGGGCTTTAAATAAATCAGAGTGAATAGATTGAAAAGTCTCATTTAAAACATTTGCCGAAAAGTTGTCACATGCACTAAAGTGCTTAGTAACAATGAATTCGACCAGAGGCGCTCTGGGCAATCCACCACACTTGGAAGTGAGCTTAATAGAACACACAAGCAATGTGGTTTTCCTGCAGAAGACCAGGAAAAATGATAGGTGCATCATATAAGCAATAGGATAGAATGCAGGCGGTCACGAATTTGTAAGTTAAAGAGGAGGGTATTGAAAAAATAGTAGAGCTAGAGTGTACTAATTTTTGAATATCTCGGCTTATAGCTTTGACCACCGGGTCAGATGAACTCGTGGAAAGAACAGTGGAGATCGTTGACTACCTTCGCTGGTTCCAAGTAACCCCATTAACTTAGCCAAGTAGATCACGGTAAGGTGAAGAAGTACGTGTCGAAGTATATGTGCCAAAAGAATACCACTAACAGAAAAATCAATAGCAAGGATCCAAGTGTTGTTATAATCATCTCAGGTGAGATTCGTTCGGTAGCGTGCAACTTCCACGTGGGCCATTTTTCATAAGTAACTCGCAAGTGCCGAGGTACTACTGCGGGAATGCGTTCTTGTGGACTGTGGCCTAAACAAGTTCCCGATTCAGCGGATGATGACCCTAGGAAATGATTTTCCGCGAAGTCCCAAAAACTAATTTGTTAAGTATTCTTATCGTGACGTCGACTACTTAGCCGGGCCATCGACCTCAATGAAGGCACATTTCTTCCGGAGATTCTAGAGGTAGCCTAAGCTCTCATTGGCTAGCTACTGGCCAATTGGCTTTAAGCTGGGTTGACCAGAGTTTCTGTTAGCGATTTGCTCACCAAACGGGGTGGATCACTTACCAATACAGAAAGTGATACAGTGGGGATATATAGTGGGAGAAACACTCGTAGATATTCATAGGTTAGATTACTATGATTCCGGTACCAACGAGAACTCAAAGATTTCCAGCTTCATGTAGCTGGCTATCAGCAAAGGAAAACTGCAGCAGGTTATGCGAAATAGGGGCAGTATCAAACAATAGTGAAGTCGTTGGTATCAACAAAAGCTCAAGGTTGTAAGAAAGGTTACCTGAAAAATTTTCCTTTGCCTGTCAACATTATGGGTCGAACTGCTTTGGGGAACGCACGTCTCCACAAAATCCCCTAAGCCTTATATATTTGGAAAGGTTGAATCAAACTTATCTTGGTTGTCTTGTCTTCGTGGTCATCTTATGAAGCTACACAGGCCGCGTTCTGACCGAATCATGGCGGATACACAGTTATTGCATTGAGTCATCCAACGCTGGGAATCGCTTCCAGAAAAGGTAGCCAGAGAACGCACGGTTAAGGGTATTGAGTGCCAGATAGACGTTCTTGAGTGGTAACCAGAAACACTTCCCTTCTTCTGAACATATATCCGTCTTCTTACTTTGATTTGAACTTTTCGGCTTTTCTTCACTCATTGACACCATGCTCCAATTAATTGACCTTCCTTCCTCTTTGGGTTTCATTCTCTCCCTATATCATTTTTACATTACGTGACGGACACAGCGGAGAAGTTCTTGCTTAACCAGAATGTGTTTCGGGTGCTTTGCTCTAGATTCAGCAAGAACTCGAAGCCATTTATCATTTACTGGTTCAACGATCCATTTAAGAGGGAAAACTCAAGGGATTTTCCTACCATTCCAGTCTCACCTTAACTGGAACTTGAAGTAAGACATGACTCCGCTGTGCGCTTCGGAAGCAGTACCGCGGGGATGATATCGTTCGCTTCGAGTAAACGAGTCGTTTTAACCAAGCCGTTATACTATAGACCAAAAGCTACTGAAGAAGTGTAAGGAATGAAATCCAAAGGAAAGCTAACAGTTGTATTGGGTTATCATAAAATCAATCTTGGCTTTTTCGATACTATTTCAGAATTTGCTGGAGTTTTCTAGAAGATGCTGCAATTGTGCGTATAAGAGGACACAATTGCGTTATTCATTTACCTTACATTTAGTAGTATGAGTTCGTTTACGGGACGTTACAATGCCTAAATATTGTTGCCTGTTACATATAACTATTGACTGAAAATGTGTACTAAACATATCAATTGACTTCCGACCGTTCTGTCGGTGACTGTCGTTAATACGCATGTTACTGAAAAGATAACTCAACAAGTCATCTCCACAGACCCTCCTTTCCGACTTTGAAGCTCGGAGATGCGAAATATTGAAGTCCCAGTTTACTCAAAACGCATTTGTAAAGCATTGCAAAAAGGAAAGGCATTTCAGTGTTCTTCGAAAACTTACCATAGTGAGCTGGTTTCCGCTGGGTTGGAACACGTTGGATTGCAGGTTGCGGACGTCCGGTAGGCCAGTCGTTGGGAGGAAACATAGTCTGCGATCCGGTGAGCCCTTTGTCTGAATAATGATACTTTCTTGTATTAAACGCGGAGGTCAGATTTGGTCTTCGAGGTCCAGGAGGTTCTCGGAGTCTTTTTGGAACATGAAGAGACAAGGACAGTGACAAGATTGATGGCACATCCGGATCGGTGAAACAATGTGGAGCAGTTTGAACTCGTCAAGCTGAATGATGAGAGCTTGGGGATTAAAAATGAGTCCGGCAAAGATGTGCATAGAAAACAAGCAGAGCATTATTGTGTACGCTTGGGTAACAGATGTATTTCAATAGTAACTAGTAACTACAGTGTCCCATGGGCCTGCCATCTAGATCCTGACGTTTTTATCTAGAGTAATTAAAACTGACAGTAGACATTCTTTCCGAGACAGTTCCGCACATCACCAAAGCCTCAAAGACAGAATCCCGACTCGTTCCGAAGCGGTTGCGTTATATCAATTCACCTGCACCTGTGGTGCAAGGTAACTCGGGCGCACGACCAGACTTCTGTCTAAGAGGATAGCGGAACACTGTCCTGCCTTCTAAAACATGGCACGGTTAAGAATGTACACTGCCCTGTCCTCGAGAATCTGATTACTACTGGGCATCAGATTCGGACAGAAGACGGATTCAAGGTGGTTTACACTGTGTCGAGACGCGTTCCCAAAGGACTCAGGAAACGCCTGCTGGCCACTGCCGAAGTAACGACAATTAGGCTATTAAAAGCTAAATTATGCTAGCAACGGAAGCTAATACAATGTCTCAGTTTGCCCTGGACATGACCAAGGTTCTGTCTGTATCTGACAGTAATCCAGGCCCAACTCTGAGTCTTGTTCCTCATCAGCAACTTTGTTCTTGCTTTCGCTGTTTGTCTATTTGTATGCACGAGACTAGGTGTCGTAACTTCTTTTACCTCCTGACTTCAATGACATAACTATTGATCGGCTTCACTAACCCAATTTCAGTTATCATCTAACCACTATCACTCGAGCTCTAGTTAGTTTTCCCGTTTGCTTAATCTTCTTCATAAATGTAAATGCCTGACGAGAATTATAGAGAAGTGATAAATCTTCGCAAGTCTCCCTCTTACGCCTAAAACTGAAAGTGCTGACAGTATAGATGTAAACAATGAACAATGAATTTATACGGGTTAAGAAGCGTTGCTTTACAAGTCCCGTTGGATAGTTGCAGGGGATATCAATGTAACAATAATGATGATAAGGATAGTAAAACAGTTAATACTTTAAATATGATAATAAGGACTTATCGTTTGCTTCGCTGCAGTCCTGCGATCCTCTTAGATTCACAGCATCCACAGTTAACAACAAATAATTCCATGGTAAACTCCAGGTGTTGGATGGAGACGTAGTGTTAAGTAACAAAGTGTAAGTGGATGAGTGCATCGTCCAACCGTCTTTTAAACACTGTTAGTGTCGGTGCAGAGACGACCGATTCTGGGAGAGCATTCCACGAGAGACAGACACGAATGGAAGAGAAAATTCTGCGGTACTCCAGACGACTGTATTGTTCTGCGAGTTTTAATGAGTGTCCCCTCAGGTTTGTATTGCTGCTGAGTTGCAGTAAAGGGCGGCACACATGATGTGGGTCTCGCAGAATCAAGTATGTCATAATCAGGTCGCCTCGTAGCCTGCGATAGCTTCCACTGAACAATCCCAGTCGTCGCAGCCTCTCCTGGTAGGAAAGATTGCGCATTCCAATTACGTTATTAGATGCCCGGCGTTATGGCTGCTCCAGTGTATTAAGATCGTGTTTCAGCCATGGATGCCAGGCTTGAATTGCGTATTCGACATGGGGGCGAACATACGCACTGAGCATTTGTCAAAATATGGAGCTGTTTATTTGTCCAAACGCCCGCCTCAACAGCCCGACGTGTTGGTTCCCGGTCTTCGAGATCTTTTCGGATTGCCTGGAGCAACCCAAGTCATCTTGAACCAGGACACCCAAGTCACGTTCGAGAGTTGATTGTTGCAGTACATCCGTTCCGAGTCGGTATGAGTAGTTGCTTTGATGTCGGATGGAAAGCACCTTGCATTTACTGACGTTGAAATGCAATAAGTTTAGGGTTGACCATTGATACATCGTATCTAAATCACTCTGAAGCACATGTTGGTCGGTGTTCGCATGGATCCTGCGCCAGATCTTGGTATCATTGGCAAACAGTAGGAAGTTTGAAGCGATTCCCTGTGCAAGGTCATTAATAAACACCAAAACAAACGTGGACCTAGAACCGAGCCTTGCGGCACACCACACTCGACTTGTATGGGGTCCGACAAAGAGCTCCGAACTCTGACCACAAGGTCTCTGGTAGCATTTCACCAATCAGACGTGCTCAGTGTGTCAACCAACGAGGAAAAAAAGCAAACGTAAGCGAATCGGGTTGTATCGTTGGTATCCGGCATGTCCAACATAGCAACGGCAATGCGCTGTCATCCAAGGCATGGAGAAATACGAGTGGCTAGTAGGAAGGCGGAGGTCAAACAGAACCCGACCAATGGAATATGCAGCGTTGAGTACTAATGAACGATAAGAAAGACTAAAAGCAAACTGCACTAAACTCAGAACCAGCTTTAAGTCCCAGTAACAACCCTTTTAATAGTTACTGCAGTTAGGCAGAGTTCCAGTCTCTTTTCTGTTTCCATAGCACCCAAACATGGAAGAGTGACAGCGAAAACATTCCTATAACGGCGTTTCTCCAAAGGCCAGAGTCTGGTTAGTAATTATTCGGAGGCATGGAAACCAAGAATTTTGGGATTACAAAGATGAAACCGGCTTCTGGTGACGAAACAACAAGAAGGAGTTTGCGGAAGACGGCCTTTAGCAGTGTTGAAATGTTCCTCTACCAATCCCGATGACTAGTTACATCTTTGTGGTCAGCCATCCGACCCCCTAATCACCCCATCACCTATAGATTCGCAGAATGCCCTATCCATATAATCTCGACACATAAAGACAGGTGTAGAAAAAGCTCGCTTTAGAAGAAGCCATGTAGATTATGGATAGTGGCATTGCAAACGTAAGCTCAAGTCAAGCGTAACCTGAGATCCAGCGGGTTCAATCAAGCATAGCCCGACGGCAGGCATCAACGCGCCGCGGATCGATATCAGGTGACCTAAATTTCAGTGAAAATCCTCACATTTTTTAAAGATCTGTGAGCTACGCTTGTCACAACGGTAGGGAATTCAGAGTTGGATTTAGAGTACCCGCTGTGTGGTTGGATTGCGACACGCAATCTCTATTAAGACCACAGTTCACGGTCATTACGATCACAAGGACCGTATCCTAATTGGAAGTGATTTGGTGTTGCTCCTCGCAACACTGACAAGCTATAACCGGTTTGTCCTCATTTGAACTCACCAGATGGAGTTAGTCTGAGCTGGGGTGGAACTCGGTGTCTAGTGGTTAAAAGTTGACCGCTTGATCATTATGGCTCTAATATGCGTGAGAAAAGCTTGGCAAGCGGTAGGGAATTCAAAGTTCGGTTTGGAGTGAGCGTGAGGCAAAAGGAGTGTACTGATAGCGTGAGTGCGCGTGTAGCCATGGAACATCCACCCATGCAGGCAAGTACCGCTCATGCGTTTGCCAACGGGCGAACAAATTAGCGATACCCGCTTGGGTCAGATGTGCCGTTCATGATTGGTCTGAACAAGGACAAGGATACATTAGCAGTAAACAAAGGCAAAAAGAAAACAAATTAATTACCAAAAACTGAGGACCAGGATCGGCCAATGAAAATGAGCCAAATGCGGCAGGTCAATTTAAACCATGGTAAAGTAAAAACAAATTATCAATTTTCGAATCTTATAAAGTCTTAATGCGTATACTCGGAGGTGGGAAAGGGACTGAAACGGCAAACATAATCGCACGGGCATGGGTACTGCCAGGCGTATTGTTATGTCAAATTCATGTACCGCTTCACGTGCATAGAATGCTAGAAGCAGCTTACAGGGAGAAAATAGTGACAGTCGCTTCCATTTGGTGCTTACACCTTCAGCCAAGTCACGACAAGTTAACAACCTTGGTTTCAGTGGCCGCTTTTGTTAAGGTCGTATACACCGTTACCGGCACAATGCTCAGGTTGGAAGAGGAAAGAAAGCATCCAAGAACGTAGTTCACGGTAGACAGAGTAACAGAAAACCAGTAGGCTGTACGCACGGTGAGTTTGATATGTTTGGATCTATACCCGCAAATCAGCCATGACCAGCACCTTCCAACAAAGCACTTGCGAGCACATAGGAAAAAAGCACCGGTAACTCCTCTCCGTCCATCCAATCGGTAATTCATGAACGACAGATTTCAGTCTGCCTCGACGCAATGGTGACACCATTGAACAGCACACCAATTTAGTCATGAATACAACTATTGCCCCCACGGTGAGACAATTGGTAGTTGTACAAATTGATCAGATCTATGATGGTGTTTCTCGTGCCCAGTGCTGAATATACATTTATGCGTTTCTTTACTTATATTTACATGAAATATGTTAAATGTCTCTACATAGATGTTCGAAATGCTCCCCATCGTTTTGGCTACAGAGGAGCATTCACCGAATGATGTTGGCGAGCACCTTCTGCAACGTTTCGAACGAAAGCTGCCTACATTCGTTCATAATATACTCTTTCAGTTAATCCAGGTTTTTAGGTTTTGTTCAATAAACTCTGCGCTTCAATTATCCCAATAGGAAAAATCCATGTGATTCAGCTCCGGTGATCACGCAGGCCATTCTATCGGTCTCCCGCGACCAATTCGACGTCCACTCTATGTCTCGTTCAGGTAGGTACGAATCGATGTGCAGGTGCGCCATCCTACAGCCACAAAATGTTATTCAATAACCCTTCCGACTGTAGCCGCGGAATGACGTTGCTCTGCAACATTTCTATGTCCTGGGATGCTAAGAAATGTCAGACATTGGTACTGTTAAATAACAACCTACCGGACACACTCATGGACGCACTCCTGCACCTGCCTCCCATTTGATTCCCCGATGCGTTGGTGTTCCGTCTACATGGCGAAGATACGCATTATGTCTAGGCAACAACTAACTCACGGCAATGTAGCGCTTCACGTGTGCAACATAGT